AGTAGCGCAAGGATCATGCGGCCTGGCAACCGGTATCTGCAAATGATTTCATTGTCACTTAAATCAAAAAGTGATACTCTCTTCCGATAAATCCTTGCTGGTGCGCGCCTGCCATTACGGTGCCTTCGCCTGGCTACAATCACTGCTGCCATGATTACCGGAGTCCTGGCATGACAGCCCTTATATAGGCTATGCTCCACAGTTACCACCAACTGAGTGAAATTTGCAATCATTTTGCGTGAGAGAGAGAGTGAGAGAGGGAGAAAGAGAAATTGCGCGGATTTAATACACGGGTCTCACTGGCGTTAAAGTTCAGTTTGCGTGCATTTCACCCTTTGCGTGTGCTTTGTGGATTGCACGCTATTTTTTTCTCTCATTTGCACAGGTTTAGCGGTCGCAAAAGCAGTGCAATCCTTTTCAGGATCTGGCCCACTGTTTTTTCTTTATTTTTATTTTTTTAACTTTATATAATCTACAGTTCGTAACTTTTATGAAAATAACTGTCTTATTTCAAACTGTCAGTATGTTCTATGGGAATGATCTACCGGGCCAAGACGTCTCTAACACAGCTGTCAATCAGTGATCATGGATTGTGGTCAAATTGTCAAACTAGGCAACGTTGTTCAAATATGAATTAAGATTCTGTAGCTGCATTGCATATTTGTCACGTCAAATGTTTTCAGAAGCACAATTCAGTATACTATTGAGCTGTAAAATGAGAATGTTTGTGACCAGGCGCTTTGTTGGACACAGTGTACTGATTCCTGAAGTACCAAGCCAGACCAACTATCTCATTTTACTGCTAAACAGGACACTAAAATATGTTTCTGAAAACATCTGAGAAGAAGTGAGGGTTGGCCAGCATGTCCACACTTTTAAAAACAGTGTGAAGACCTAAATTGGTCCTCACAAAGACAGTACAAGACCACACAGACACACATAACTTACTGTACCTCGGGTTTGACCCCATCCGGTGACATAACACTCAGTTCTAGCAGGAACAATGTAGTCCTGCTCTGGCAGACAAACTGGCAGGACTTTGTCATTTATCATTGCAGGGCTGAAAACACACAAAACACCAGCAGTGGAAGAAGTACTCAGATCTTCTACTTAAAAATACCAATACCACAGTGTAGATATACTCAGTTACGAGTAAAAGTCATGCATTCAAACTGTTACTTAAATAAAAGTACACACGTATTAGCATGTACAGGCAAATCATCATTATGTAATAGGGCCCATTTCAGATTAATGTATATTATACCATGGTCTGGGTGAATACTCAATTCTGATTGGCTGCAGGGTGTCCGTTAAAAGGTGTTGTATTACTGGATTATAATATTGATGCAATAATGTATACACCATGCTGTTGGTGCAGCTGCTAAAGGTGGAGCTGATTTTCATTATGTTGCATACCGATGATTGTATGATGTACTTCTGGGTGACATAATAATATTTCATTTGTTGATCAATTCTGTATTGTTAATCTGAATCTGAAAAGTACCAATTAGATAAAGTTATCAGATACGTGTAGTGCAGTAAAAAGTAGAATAAGTGCCACTGAGATGTAGTGGAGTAGAAGATCAGAGTATCTGCAAATGGAAATACTCCAGTAAAGTGCAAATACAGTACCTGAGTAAAAATACTTGGTGACTTTCCACCACTGAGTAGCAATAGTGAGTTAAGGAAGGATAGNTGACTTTCCACCACTGAGTAGCAATAGTGAGTTAAGGAAGGATAGTTGCATCAGAACCACTATGATTATTAATATTTGAACCAGTGGTGACAGTAGGATGATCAGTCCAGTTTTTACCTCTGCAGTTTCAGCAGAGCAATGTCAGCGTTGTTGGGTGCACGCATCAGTTTCTCCACGTTCCTTTCCTGTCGCGATGGCTCTTCACCTGACTTTGTGTGGACACCCAGGAGTACCTTGTAGTATGCAGGGTCCTCAGACCTACAGTACACAACATGTTTATAAACCTACACACAAGCTGTACAGTGGTTATCAGGATTGTAGATGTTTATTTTTAATCATCTCACTGACTTGTGAATGCAGTGTTCAGCAGTAAGGACCCACTGAGGATGAATCAGACTTCCTCCACAGAAATGAAATCCCCAACTGGTAGAAAGAGACAACAGTTAAACAGATGAGAAATATAATATGACCCATTTAAATAATAATAATAATAATAAATGAATGAATGAATAAAGTAAGATATCAGCCAGCATCCACTGTTAAAGGTCCAGCCTGTAGGATTTAGGGGCATCTATTTACAGAAATGAAATATAATATTTGTAACTATCTTTTCATTAGTTTATGATCTAAAATCAGAGTCATCATGTTTTTATGTTACAATGAGCCGTTTATATCAACATACGGAGAAGGCCTTATTCCACATGTTGTTCTACAGTGGCCCAGAATGGACAAACAAACACTGGCTCTAGATAGAGCCATTTGCATTTTCATGTTCATAGCTTCAGCTATAGTGATGATTCACTGATGATGTGTCCCAGCACATCCAAGGATGTATCTTTCACACATGCAATTTGGCTCCGCCAGTGACACCCGGGAAGAGGCTGGTTGTCAACCAAGAACAGATTGGTGACAACTGTTGACAGCCTGGAAAGACTGCCACCAGGGCAAGGAGGGGCAGCTCCCCAACTTGCATCTTCCACAAGGAAGACAGTATGGATACAATGATGACGACTTTGGCTAATGGCTTCACGACCAACGAGAGATGCATTTGCGGCAAGGTCTGCAAGAATGAGCGTGGCCTGAAAATCCATCAGGACAAGATGAAATGCTTGGAGAAGGAGAGTGCAATCCTGAAGCGACGACGGAGGAGCCCGGCCAGGAGACCCCACAGAGCCCAGAACCTGCCAAGCTCTCCAGCTCCCTGCAAAGTAGTTCAGCAGCCTTGTGGCCTCCAGCAAGCCAGCACAGATTGTGGCACCAGTTTGATGAGGATGTAGCCAGAATCATCAAATCAACAGCAAAAGGGGATGCCGATAAATGGCTGCAGACAATGACCACCATCATTGTCACCTTCGTGGCAGAGAAGATCGGTGTGGATGAGGGCAAGACCACCAGACCCGACTACACCATGAAACCAGGGGCAGAGAAGATCCATCATCTCCGCCAAGGGCTCCGGACTCTGGCGAAATAGTACAAGGCAGCAACTGAGGAGGAGAAACCACCACTGGCTGAGCTTCGCAACATGATCAGGAAGCAAGAAGGGCAGCAGTCACTGAGCCTGCTCAAAGGATTGTCTGGAAGACCCTGCGTACATTTTGGCATAGAGGAGCTGTTGCTGACCAGTGGAAAAAGGCGGAGGGCATCTGGATACCAAAGGAGGAGAATTCCATGAAGCTTGAGCAGTTCAGATATATCCCTCTGCTCAGTGTTGAGGGGAAGATCTTCTTCAGCATCCTATCCAGAAGGCTAACAAATTTCTCCTCAAGAATGCATACATTGACACCTCAGTCCAGAAAGGTGGCATCCCTGGCATACCTGGGTGCATCGAACACACTGGAGTTGTTAACCAGCTAATTAGGGAGTCACAGGAGGGAAAAGGAGACCTTGTTGTGCTGTGGCTCGACCTCGCCAACGCATATAGCTCAATACCTCACAAGCTAGTCGAGACTTGGAATGGCACCACATACCCAGAAAGATCAAGGACCACATCCTGAAGTACTATGAAAACTTCAGGCTCAGAATCACTTCTGGGTGTGTTACATCAGAATCAGAATCAGAAATACTTTATTGATCCCCGAGGGGAAATTATTTATGTTACAGGTGCTCTTTGCAAGAGAGGAAAGATACGTGAAAAAATAAGAAATTTAAACAATAGTATTTACAAATATATAGTTAAATAAACAGGAATTACTAACAAACATAAACGTAAATATATATATACATATATACATATATATATTTTAAGTTGTACATCTGATTGGCACCGACTTGAAAAGGGGATAGTAACTGGGTGCACCATCTCAGTTAGCCTCCTTTCCCTAGCCATGAACATGGTAGTCAAGGCTGAAGAGGAGTGTAGAGGCCCTCTATCTAAGTCCGGAATTAGGCACCCTCCCATCAGAGCCTTTATGGATGACCTCACAGTCACCACAACATCTGTGCCTGGAGGAGATGGATTTTTCAAGGACTGGAAAAGCTCATCTCCTAGGCCATAATGAGCTTCTAACCAGTTAAATCCAGGGCCATGGTGCTGAAGAAGGGTAGAGTGACAGAAAAGTGCTGTTTCTTTCTGGATGGCATGGCAATCCCATCTATTACCGAGAAATCAGTCAAGAGCCTAGGCAAGGTCTTTAACTGTAGTCTCAAGGACATCGCCGCAGTCCAATCAACTTTCAAGGAGCCTGAGACATGATTCACAGCTGTTGACAAGTCTGGCTTACCTGGCAGGTTCAAAGCATGGATTTACCAGCATGGCGTCTTACCTCGCATACTTTGGCCTCTTTTGGTTTGGGAACTGCCCATTGGTCTGACAGCCCATTGGTTTGACATCCCATTGTTCGGACCATATTAAACCCAATGTTCCAAAGTCCGTTCCGAAATCATCATGATGCCCTGTGGTTAAGGTCTGGTTAGGTTTAGGCACAAAAACCACTTGGTTAGGGTCAGGAAAAGATCATGGTGTGGGTTAAAATGAAAAAGAAAGTGACAAACACATAAGCCGTGAGCCTGCTCCGCCTCAAGCCTTTCCCAGCTGACCCAGAGCCGGTCACAGTGCACCATACGCTCACTGCGAGCTGTTCAGCACCGCGGACAGTCGGACTAATGGGATGTCGAACCAATGGGCTGTCGGACCAATGACATGGACCCTTTGGTTTACGAGGCTCCCTGTGCGTTTCAGGATCGATTTTAAGGTTCTTTTATTAGTTTTTAGATGTCTTAACGGTCTTGAGCCTTTTTATTTATCTGACCCGCTTTTACCGTATCAACCCTTGCGGACCCTGAGGTCCTCCAGCACAGGCCTTTTAACCATACCACAAGTTAGGACTAAAGCACACGGGGAGGCGGCATTTAGTTATTATGGAACCCGAATGTGGAACAGCCTGCCGGAGAACCTCAGGGCTGCAGAGACTGTTGATGTTTTTAAAAAAAGGCTCGAAACTCATCTTTTTAATCAGGCTTTTAGCTGATCTCTTTATTTATCTATTTTAAATTCCTTTTATCAGGCTTTTAATCGATTTATCTATTTGTTTTTGCTCTTACCCTTCCTCTTTTTACGTTCTTATCTCATTTAATCTTTATCTTTTATTATTTTAGTTAGCCTATAGGTTTTAGTTTTGATGCATTTTATGTCTCTGTTTTAGATCATTCTTACCTAGCTATTAACTTAATTTTATGAGCTAAATAGCTTTTTGTTTATTTGGTTCATTTTATGCCTTTTATCCTACCCTACTGTTTTAGTCCCTCAGTTTTTAGCTCCAGTGTTTCCTCATGGGAAACACACTGAGAGTTGTTCCTGGTCTACCGATGGGAGTGCCGTCCCGTGGACAGCTCTGACCTGGGTGGCTGAAGGGCACTACACCTCGGTGTGGAGCCTCCTGTCTGCCCAGGTCAGGGAGGTCTCTACGGCGGCGCTCCCTGTGGCCGTGGACCGTGGGCCCTCTCAGTCTGGACGGTCCCGAGGTGGCTTTTTCCTTGCCTCGGGTCTCGATGCTCAGCCATGTCTCTTTAGTAGCTAGTGTGTATGGGTGTGAGCTTGTGTGTGTGTGTGTGTGTGTGTGTGTGTGTGTGTGTGAGTGTGTGTGTGTATATTTATGTATCTCTATGTGGGGTGGGAGGGTTGGGTTTTCTCTTTTCTTTTTTGTTTTCTGTTTTGGTTCTTTGTTGTTTTTAACCTGTGAGGCACTTTGTGCTACTGTTGTATGAAAAGTGCCATATAAATAAAGTTGATTTGATTTGATTTGATCTCTGGAGCAGGAGCGATTCTCCGGCTTGTTCCCAATGCTCTGGGAAGTGCTTGCTTGAGCACATCCTCAGCAGTTGCCAGATAGCCCTTGGGGAGGGCCACTATAGTTGGCGGCAGAGACCAGGACCGAAGACAATTACTGAGTCCATCTACAACACTGTAGCCAAGAACAACAATAAGCAACAAAATGCCAAGAACACCATCACCTTCGTCAGGGCTGGGGAGCAGCCACCAATACAATCCAAGTCCGTAACCCGCCTTTTCACCACAGCGCTAGACTGGGAGCTGCAGGTCGACTTGGGGAGACAACTCAAGTTCCAAGACTCATCAATCTCATCAATTTTTTCAAAGCAGGTGCTTCTCATTGAACTGACAGTTCCCTGGGAGGATCCCCCCACCCCCCAGCTTTTTTTTTGTTTTTACAATCATATATCCATTTTTCTAAAACATAATTAACCAGTGATGTATGAGAATCTCAGAAGGTCATTTAAAAACATACAGTATAGGACTACTACTGTTCAGAAGGTATTTCCAATTTCCCAAAAATACTCTTCAGAATATCTGGATATAAAAAATATTTCATCTCCTTCAATAATAGCAATAAAAATGTAACCTGTTTCCCATGTTGTGACTGTCTGGGTTTTTCAGTCATTGCCAGTTAATTATCTTCTAGAGAAATTGATGAAACTTCTGTGACCCCATTGTATACATTAGAGCAGGGGCCTTCGACATTTTTTAAGCTAAGGACCCCTTAGCTGAAAAAAAGATGGAGCAGGGACCCCCTACTACATATATAGTATAAATTGCATTGCATATTAAATCATGTAGGTGGATGTCAGGCAGAAGGCCATATCAGCCTCAGGCTGCAGTCTTAAGCTGTATTTGCTTTTCAGGTAGGTGAGGGAGGAAACTCCACTTTCACAAAGATAAGTTGTTGCCAAGGGTAAAATATGTTGGATTCATGTTCATGTATATTTTAAGACATTTTAATTTTGAAAAGAAAAAATCAAATTTTCAACAATTATCAAAAGAATAATTTGGCCCCCAGCAGTAACCCTGTGGACCCCATGGGGGTCCTGGACCCTATGTTGAAGACCTAGACAGTAAAGGTACAAAGTGGGGCATCATCTTTTAAAAACCCAGTATCACTTAAACTTTAATCATATTTTGCAAATGTTGCAAGACACTTTTTACTCACGTGGTCTGGAGGCTGATTTGCCAGGGCCACGAGTGAGGTTTAGACACGCAGCCTCCCACAATCCGACCAAAACAACGCTTTGGTTTGGCGACTGGCGTCCCACATTTCGAATCAACTGTAAGGAAAGCTCAGAGTCATGAATTCTTGCAGGAGAAGTGAAACACAAACTTTGAATTTGTTTAAAGTGGTGTCATCTAACAAGACTTAAAGTTTACAGCCATGGCAAGCAGCCTGTGAGGATAATGCTCGGACACATGGTAAAACAAAACAGTTAGATGGACAAAAAATTGATTCTATTATAAGACTCTTAACATTAGATAGGAGCGAGTTCTAAAGTTTGACCTGAGGCCACGTTAAACAAAACCCAACTGATTTCTTCATTTGTGTTTTCAAATACCGCTCTTCCATAATTCCAGGTTTGCAGTACATGTGTGGATTGGACATTAGATACAAAATCAGACAAAGGCTCTACAGGATGATTTTTTTCCCTTTGCAACTATCATGTTTTTGTACAGATTTTTAGGCATTCTATCATCTCAAAAAACGCATGAAGCTGCTGTAGATGGAAAAGAAACCTCCCTGGGGAAGCATGCCCCTTTAAGAAAAAGGGGGAGATTTCACTCAGGACAGCACACAGGTGGTTAAAAAACTCAATGATTGATTGTAATCCTCTACATACAAATAGGTTTCACATACCACAGTTTGGGATGTGACAGTAGTCCCATCTTGTGTTATTGTCAGTAGTATAGCACCATGGTCCGCTCGCATCATTGCCTGGGTTTCTGCAGCTCTGACAGTGACATACAAAGAGGGAGTCAATGAACTCAAAACAAAAACAATGATTTACCAGATTTTAACATGAATGTGTTCATTACATCCAGAGCAAAACTCCAAAAGTCTGTCACTCAAAATGTTAATACAGGAACACACACACACACACACACACACACACACACACATACTTACATTTCCCTCCAGCCCCTTGTCAGGGTGAGTTTCTGGGGTGAAGCTCTTGTGTTGGTGAGGGCTCTGAGCACTCCAGGCCTGGCAGGTCACACCCTTAGTGGTGATAGAGGTTGGACCCCGGTATGTTTCTCCATTTCCAGTCTTACAGTCTAATGCAACCAAAGGAGGGGGGGGGGGGGCAAATCAATCATACAACTAACTAAAAGTGTACAAATGCATAATGTAGAGGTTGACTAATTTACCTTTGTGTGGTGGAACTGCAGTGGATGGGGTCTGGGGATTAGGTGAGGCTGTGGGTGTCTCTTCCGTAGAATTGGTGGGGCATTGCTCCAAGTTGCAGAACTCCCAGCGGACACTGGGGTCTGTAGTGTAACACCAGGGAGCTTCATCTCCATCAGGGTTTCTGCACAGGTTCATCCTGAGGTCCCTGTTGAAAGAGAAAGCGTGGAACTTCAGGACAGCGGGAACCTTTCTCTACAAGATTTTGTGTTTTACTCTCAGAATCAAAGGAACCAATGATCTCTGTTGGTTTGTTGTTGCTATTTGAAGCTCACGCTTTGGGGTAGTTCTGTGGAGTATAGCTGTGGTTGTGTGGAATCATGGCGCTCCAGTCTTGGCATTTTTTTCCACTGATAGTCTCTGATGTCATGCCACGGTAACTTGACCCATCCCCCTCATAACAGTCCTCCTCCTCTGGATGGGTCACTGGCTCATCTACAGCAGGAGACAGGAAATTGAGCTGACTCAATTATGCCGTTTACATTTATCACCACCACTGACATTGATATTGTAGTTAGGTAAGAGATTGTGGTCACTGATCACTGCCATACCTGTATCTCCACAACGTGGCACATCGCAGTACTCCCAGCGAGTCGCATTGTCAGTGGTGTAACACCAGGGCATCGCCACATTGTCAGGGTTACGACAGTAGTTCTCATCCAGGCCTCTGACAAACAACAGACAGTAATAATGATGAACACATGTAGAGCCAACGATAAGGTGACAGACCGTATGTCCCTCATATATGAAAAGCCTTTAAAAGGGTTTCAGTCATAGTAGCTCTTACTTGCAGGTGTACATTTGTAGGTAGTAGTGTTGGTGTGGCGTCTGAGACGACCAGCTCTGGCATGTTTTGTTTGATTTAGTCACGGCAACCGTGCCTCGGTACGTTTCACCGTTACCAGTGATACAGGTCAGCTCTGGGGCGATGGTTGGAGGCGGGGTTGCTTAGCACAGATGATAAGATGGATTAGGTGGAGAACTTGAATAAAAAAAAAGTAGTGGCAGTGTTTTAAAGCAGTCTTGTGGGTCATCCATTAAGGATGGGCAGCAAGTGACTTGCAAATATGTCAAGTTTGTAAAAAACACACTCTGTTTTGAAGTACAGTGAATTTATGGCACAAAGCTTTGACTCTGAAGTGCCTTTTCCCGCTATAGAGTGAGGGACTAATGGATAGCCACATGACAGAGACAGCTAACTAGCTTAATGATGTGGCCAAATGCAGGTATGATGCTGAATACATTGAGCTGTGTGGACCTTGAACAAATGATCACAGAGAAATCTGGACCCCATGGCTGGACCAGTAGGAATCACTGTTTTAAAGAATTTCAAATGACAATGAAACTGACTGTGATAATCAGAATTACTGAATAGTTCCTGGAACAACCACAATGGGATATATATATACATATATATATATATATATATATATATATATGTATATGTGTGTGTGTGTGTGTGTGTGTGTGTGTGTATTGTGTTAAAATTTTGTAAGCTGCAGATGGAGCTCCTCTGTGCTCGACTGAAAAGATGTACTATGTTAATAATTTTAATTTTGTCAAAAAATGACAATATCAAAATAACTGATGTGGTATTTTCTTTTCTTCCTCAGGTTGCAGTGCAGGGTCAGTTTGACAGTTCGGTGGTCCTGCAGCAGGAAGTGGTTAAACAGTACGAGGGACCGAAGTCACACCTTTTGTCTAAAAATGTGCACACCTGCGCAGCTAAAACACATTTTTACATTTTTGCTCTTGTGTGAATAAAATTCCTCTGACCCTGACTCTCAATGATGGAAGCTTGGACGGGTTTAAGGTGTTATGATAGTGAAATAGAGCAGAAGTAAAGGAAACACATAAAATAGGAAATAGGAACACTTACTGCAGCGGGGTATGTCGCAATAGTCCCATCGTTTGGACGGGTCAGTGGTGAAGCACCATGGTCGGCGTTCACCATCAGGGTTTCTGCAGAAGTTCTCTACAAGATCTTTATCTGAAAAACTAGAGGAATCCAAAAATGAAAAAAAAAATCATCATGACAAAAATCAATGTTTAGCTTCTAGAAGATTTGTTTTATTTCCAAGATTCAATACTTTATTGCTATAATATGATTGATTGGATTTTGACTTAGTGAGCTCACTTACACAGAGACAAAAGGCAAAAAAAATAGTGCTGCTTTGGAACTTGGATGTTCTGGTCTTAATACTTGTTAGTCTTTTGTGAGAAGAATGTAAATTAAAGAGGTTGTTTGATGGGGGAGAGGGGTCCTTTAAAACTTTAACTCTAACTTTAAACTCCCTTTGTAGCCTGACCTTTTAAATTTCTGTTAGGGGTGTGACATCACATCCAGTAATTCTGGGTACCACTATATCCAGCTGTCTATTGTCCTCAGTTGACATGTTGCCAAACCACAAAGTTATTGCGTAGGTCAGGAGGCCCTCTACTGCTGCTCTATAAAACTGCATCAAACACCCTGGATGTCCACATTTTTTAAATTGTAGTAACCTCCTGAGAGCCAGGCTTTTGTTTGGTATGCATTTCTAATTTCTCCTCGCTATTTGGGATTAGTAGGACCTGATTAACTTAAAAACTAAGCATTGTCTTTGAACAGGAAGTAGTTTTGAAAAAAAAAGTCCATAGGGGGACAATGGGTTGTTCGGTTTCTTAGTTAATACATTCTTCCTGATAACATTTATCAAATTTCATGTAATACTGCGTGAGGTTGGTTGATAGATTGATGTGCTGCTTTGTCGTCTTACGCGTGAGGGTCATAGCCATGGCTGTGAGGTTCCTGGGAGTCCCAGCGTTGGCAGGTGTAACTGTCTTCTGTAATGGAGATTCTTCCTCTGTAGTCCTCACCATTGCAGTGCATACACTCATCTGTAAAGGAACAAGCACAGACTCATGACATAACCTCTCTGCTGTACTGGTCTACTGTGGCACTTTTGATGACACTTTATACCACACACACACACACACACACACACACACACACACACACACACACACGCACACACGCACTATGCATATATAAGGTTGAAAAGCAGAAGAATTTATGATACAATAGTTTGTATTTGTGCTTTGCTGTCACTGATATCACACACAAACAAACATAATAATAAACACATGAAATAAATTATTTACCAGGGCAGATGGCTACATCGCAGTATTCCCAGCGGGTGTCTGGGTCAGTGGTGTAACACCAGGGTCCCTCACTGGCTCCATCAGGGTTCCTGCAGAAGTTGGACTCCAGCTCTGCTCGGGGATATTCCTCTGGTGTAATGCTGCAGCACACACATTGAGAAAAATTACATGAACAGACATAAAAAGGATATGATGTGATGTGTAAACTGACATGATGTTGCATGAATACATACTTAGGTGTATGTGGGTATCTTTCGTCCCATCTCTGACATGTCTTTCCTGTTTTTGTTGTGGACTTTGTTCCTCTGTATTGTTTTCCTGTTCCAAATGTACACTCCAGTAGGTACACTGCACAAGAAAAAATATACACCAAAGGAAACTTTCAGCTTTGCATGTTTGATCATTCAATAAAACCAGCTTGGTATTTAGGTGGAATGGTTGTTGACAAGTTTACTGTATCATGCACTGCAGAGTTATGGACCTTTTTTCCTGTCTAACTAAAACTAAAAAGTTGGTGCAATTTGGACATGCAACGAGTGTCTTCTTTCAATCTGAGGGCATGACTCATTGATTTCACGTTTAGATTTTGTTATGCTTTCACAAAAAACCCTGAAGAAAAACATGAAGCCCTGAGGACACACTCCAAACATCACTGATCATGCATCATATAGGCTAAATATTAACGACAATGTGATGGAGGCTAAATATCAAGAAGAATCTACACTGATGAACAGTATGTGCACTGTTGTAGAAAAGACTTTGGGCTGTTTATGTAGATGAAAAGACAAAAAACTTGCCTTTTTTTTCATACAACATTGTGCTTTTTCCACGCTGAGCCATCAGTGTTTTAGAGTTGTCCGGTGCTGTCCAACACCCGTCATCCCTTTGATTATATGTGAAAGACCTATGAAAACACAGCAGGTGTCGAGTCAGAATGCTTAGCTTTGGATGTAAATGTTAGATGTTAAGGTAAAAACTGGATTTTAAAGGTGTGAACTTACCTGCATGTGAAGGATGTTTCAGTGTCACATTTGGCGGCACATTCAGCCACGTTGTTAACTGAGTACTGTCTTCTCTGCAACGAGAGGATCTGTGCTCCTTCAGTTTTGGTGTAGCCATCCACCTCAGTACCACTTGCTGGAATCAGGGACAAAACTATGAATTCAGTGTCAAATATACAGTACATTTTTAGCATTCAAGCTAGCATAGGCAGTTTAATTCTGGCATCACTGGGCAAAAATCCCCTTATAAAGTTTAATTGCAGTTCAAGTGGTCTGAAAGAACACTAGATGTGTGCATCTTCACTTGGCTCTGTTTTCAGGTTTGAGAAAATCTAGACCATGACAGAAGACTTTGGTCAATCACAGGCTGTTTTCGGAGAAAGCAGCTGTCAATTATGTTAATCACTGCACGTAAACTGTGGTAAACTATCAAACTAGGCAGCGCTGATCAAATATGTCTCAAGATTCTGTTACTGCATCGCCTATTTCTCATCTTATATGTTATCAAAAACATGTTTTAATACAGCTCAGCTATAAAATGTTAAAGTTTGTGACCCAGCCGCTTTGTTGAAAACAGCTTAGCAAAACATTTTACAGCTAGTACTCTAAATATATTTCTGAAAAAAAAAAAAGATAAAATTAAATCAGTTAGTTTGATGTGCATTCCTACCCATCTCATAATACATCCTGACTTGATTCAATGATGAAAATAGTATTTAAAGGGCATATATTATCAATGTGGACAAGGTTGTCCTGATGAGGTGCTCTCACAGTGAAGCAAAGTAATGTCTGTCTTACTTTTATTTATAATTTAGGGCACTTAAATTATTGTGAACTACTCGCAATTATCATTCAAAGGTACCATTATATCTTACCAGTGCAGGTTAGGGCTCCCAGGAGCAAAGCTAGTTTGCACAGGTCCATGATGAGGCAGCTCACAATCGACAAAGTCACCGAGGTACCTCCTGGGATGTGACTGCGCTCCTTTAGCATTTCAGAAAAATAAATAGGACGGCTCAATCTATTTTTAGTCAATCATTGGTCAGACAAGAACAGCAAACAAGCAACAGGTTTTGAAACACTTTTAATAATGTGACCTCAAGTACATACTCATCTTTTTTCTTTTTTTTTCAGTAACCGCCTATGGTAATACATGTGTGTATTTGTTAAAATAATATATTGTAATACAGACTTGATTCTCATTCGACTGATGAATACTATGTGGTCTAGATTACATCTAATCAATGTATAACATAAAATTAATCTTCAACTAAAAGGATCAATGTTCTCAATTACAAACAAAGGTTATTACAAAACATCATACTTTAGACTCTTGAGTAGGCGTTAGGTCTGAGTAACAACTGTTCAGTTGTGGGAAATTGTGCCACTGTCTTTCAAATTCTTGACTAAGTTAATGATGAGAGGCTTCTGTGAATATATGTCCTGAAGGAGGCTCTTCAATTAATTTTCCTGCGTAACGAGCGCTTCTTATTTTTAATACATTAAGTATTTTTGTGGATAATAATACAGGACATTGATCCGGGCTGGTATGTCGATGGGGTAGCTGCTTCGTTCTTGTAGTAATTGGTGAATTAGCAAAAAACAAACAAAAAAAACAGTAACGATACCTTGATGATTTTGAATTTTAAACCTGAAAGAACTGAATTCTGTTTCCTTCTGCTGCTGCTCCCAGCTGAGGCTTTTGCTAGCTGCTGTTGTTAACACTGATAACAGTGCGTTATCATTAATGATGAGAAATTTTTCCCACAGACTAGTACAGGAGTACCTCAGGGTTCTGCTCTTGGTCCGCTCTTTTTTAGCTTATACATTAATGACTTACCACAATCATGTGTCGGAGCAGGTTTTCAGGTGTATGGGGATGATACAGTCATACATGTATCTGTGAAAACATCTCTGGCAGCTTCCAGATAGCTGTTATGTCGTTTACATTCCATCGCAGCATAGTTTGAAAAGTCACATCTCTCACTTAATATTAACAAAACAGTGTCAGTTTGCTTCTCTGCCAGTGTTCGCTCATCAACAGAAGCTAGTGTGTTAAATCTAAATATTAATGGACAAAATATCAAACAGGTCAGGTAAAATACCTCGGCCTCATATTAGATTCACAACTAAAATTCGAGAAGCATGTTAAGATGGTGAGCAGGGTTGCAAAAGCAAACTTCCGTACATTTAGACTTATCAGGGACTGTCTCCCATTTCACGCTGCAAACAGTTTTGTGCATGCTATGATTTTTTTCACATTTAAGTTACTGTGTAACCTCTTGGTCACAAGCGACATCTACAAAAATAAAGCCTCTTATGATGATATATAATCCAGCCATTAAAATTTTGCAAAGGAATCCAATAAGAGCACATCATTGTCACGTTCTTCAGAAATTAAATATACTAAGTTTTGATTATTTCAATAATTTTGCCAATTTCAAACTCATCCAAAAATGCCTAAATAATTAGGCTCCCCAGGTGCTCAGTGAACTTATGGTTCCACTGAGAGCTTCTGGCTCAATAACACGCGGAGCAGCCAATGGGAATTGTAAGGTTCCCGTGTGAATCCTCATTTGGAGAAACAGCTTTTTCTGTCCGTGGAATTAAAATTTGGAATTCTTTACCTTCAGAACTTATACTGGATCCTGATCTCAATCACTATAAACTCAAACTGAAGCAGTTTTTGAAGAGGAATCAGTGATGCAGTCATGAATAATTTGGTGCTTCCTATTCTATGGTGTTAATTATGTATTGCAGTTTATATGTTGCATTGTTCTGTCTATACTTTTACTGTTGTGTGTACTTTACACTGTCACTTGTGTTTTCGTTGCTGAGCCTATTGGATTTTAACGCTCAGCTAGGGATGGGCATTGCAAATTAGCTCAGGCTATAAATTCAATTTTATTCAATTCAATTTTATTTATAAAGCCCAACATCACAAATCACAGTTTGCCTCCCAGGGCTTTACAGCATACAACATCCCTCTGTCCTTTGGACCCTCACAGCAGATAAGGAAAAACTCCCACCAAAAAGCCCTTTATCAGGGAAAAAAATGGTAGAAACCTCAGGAAGAGCAACTGAGGAGGGATCCCTCTTCCAGGACGGACAGACGTGCAATAGATGTCGTACAGAACAGATCAACATCATAAATTAACAGTATTCCATATGACACAATGATACATAAAGAGAGACAGAGACAGAGAGTAATGACAGTAGCTTACAACAACATTAATTTAAGTAATAATATTCTAATAATACTTATGGCTATTGTAGTACAATAGGTTGTAAACATATGTTAATATATGATGGTATACATGTGTGACAATAATAATCATATGTGTATAATAACAGTAGAAGTATGACTAATAGTAACAGCAGCAGCAGGCGGCATCAGGTAGGACCACAGCAGCAGCACAACAACACACGTCGCACTATCCAGGCACCGCTGCGATACGAGGTAACCTGCGAGACAGTGGAGCACAAAGGCTCCGCAGAAGAAACCGAGTTAGTGGCATGCAGAAGAGCCGACTTAGCGAGATGCAGTAAGAGCAGGGCGTGCCGCCCATAGGGCAGGTTAGGCAAATGCTATAGGCGCCAGCATGCCAGAGGGCGCCAGGGAGTGAGGTGTTGTTTTGTTTTTCCTTCCCCATTCTATTCGAAAAATTAGACAAGAATACACTACAAAACAACAACACTACATATAGCCATAGGCCTACATCTTTAAATAATAATGAAATAATATTTCTAATTTAAATTTCTGCCTGCCTGGCATCCCTCTGCCTCTCTGGCAGGCAGCATCAATTTCGCCACGGTCCCTAACCGTGTGGTTAGGTTACTATTACATAACATTAACGTCAATGTTATTGCGACTTCATTAGCCACTTGTTTTAGGAATACTTTAAGCATTCAGCTAGAGTTAATGTCAGTTATTGTTGCTCCCATCTTAGAGAAAGTTGGAAAGAAAGACTCAAAGTGTTTGGGGAATGAATAAGCAACATAATTTAATATATTGGGCTTGGCCTATCTTTTCTTTTAACGTTTAGTGTGCCGCTGCACAAACCACGCACTGTTTACCAACCAGGCATAATATTCATATACTGTATATTTATGTTTTCCAATTTTCAGATTTGTGCAATTTGTGATGTTACAGTTGCATTTTTTATATTCTGGCTGTTTGCTGTGTTTAAAATGTCATTAGATCAAGGCAGGCTGTAATGTTAGGTGCTATTATGGTTGTGCCATGATGGTTTCACAGTCAGCAGCTATTTGATTAATATATTGTAAAAGCCCAGTTTGTCAAATATATGTATCTCCTCTTTTTAGATGCACTTCTGAAGTATTTGTCCCCCACCTCTGCAAATCCTGGGCCTACCAATGTAACTGCAGCCACCTCATCCACCTCAGTACCAAGTGATGCAGCCTCAAGTGCATCTCCCTCCCACACACAAACTGCCAGTGGAGAAATAAGATCACATTCCCCGATCCCCTATGTAGACTGTTAAGAGATTAACAAGCTTTTTATTATTTATTGTGAACTGCAAGTTAATATAACTTAAGTAATGTTCATGTTTATTGCAATGCAACATTTGTTTAGTAATTAATAAAATCCAGACATTTTTTCAGGAAGTTTTTGAAAACCGAGGTTTGAACTGAACCGTGAGTCGGGGGGGCTCCAGCAAATATCTTGCCTAGGATGCCAAATTGGTCAGGCACGGCCCTGAATGTGTCTTAAATGTGTGTGAACCCCACTGCGCTGAGGGAAAACTGAACAGTGGGACAGCGTGAGTGCTGTTAATGTACACATATACGGTAGATGAGGTCATGTCATGTATGCTGATTATTTCAACCGACTGTTTATTGTGTATGTTCCTGACGGAATTAGAGGGGAGAAAAGGCACAGAAGAAAGCCGTGATTTACTTCCGGGTGTGTTTGGCGCACAAGCAGCACACTGGAGTGAGAGAGTGAGTTGACTGTGAATTAACACTTTTTCATGTAAAGTGATTGTGTGTTATGTGGCTCAAGAAGTGTATTTATTTGTGTTTATTTTTTTATTTACTTTTACTCAGGACAGAGCCACTACTGTTGTCTTTGGATACCATTGTTGCCTTGATAGCACTTTTTGATGATGCTGACACTGTTGCTAATACTATTTAGAGTTAAGAGACAGTATTAAGCTCTTGTAAGGGAAAGTGTGGTGAAACATATTTGCTTTATTCTGGAAAAGCAATCCTAAAGCTATTTTTTTGTTTGTTTGTTTGTTGTCTCAAAAGTAAATAAATTAAAGCTGCTGATTTCTGGCAGTCGGGGAGTAAAGACCCACAAAAAGTAGCTTATCTGTGTCAGGTCTCCTCATTTTATGACCAGGCTACATAACATATTAGCGTTAGAATTTAGAGAAATGGATTTCCAATCAAAGGTCAGAGAAACCGCATCAACCAAAGCAGTAAGTGTAATTAATCTCCATCTGAGGGACAGAATCAGCCTTCAAAATGAGAGGGACATTTTTTGACTGATCTTCAATACAACCTAATGTGCAGGTTCAACGCATTCACTGAACTTTGGAGATAAATAAAATAAGTAAACAGTTACTCATAATGTCACCTGAAAGTAAAGATTGTCCTGTTGTCATAAACACCCACACACACACTTTTGGACTTTCATGTTGGCTGTAGCGATACACAGCGTTTGGCCAGAGTGACTTTTCCTTAATCCCTACAACAGTGGTGACGAGTGCAGTAAGAGTTAGTAAGACTCATAGTAAGGACAGTCACACTTATGAGAAGAATCAGATTGAAAAATACAGTAATTACAGAAGCATTCGGTCTCTGCTAATTCACTCACGCAAAGGAATGCACAAACTCCACTGTGATTTTCAGACAAACTTTACTTGAAAAATTAAAACAAAAAGAAACTCAAATTAAACAAACAAAACCATGTTATCACAATACAACACAAAGGCAACTATATGAGTAGG